CATTCTTACTTTACAGCATTTTTTCACACCTGCCTAAAACGTTTGCACAGTACTGTATATAAGCTTTTTTTATTGACTAATAAAACTCTGTTTTCAGATTTTCCAAACACAGGTGTAAATAAACTCAGAACATCTGAGAGTGTTCCTATAACTTCTTATCATGTTGGAACGGAGCCTGAACAAGGAAATCTCTACTCTCCAGAGCAGACATCGCTCCATGAAAGTGAGGGTCTGTTATATAAACTTTAAGTAATCTGAAGTTTTTCAATTTAGCAACTTTTTTGTTGTAATTTGTAATAATGCTAGTCTTGTAAATGACTTCTATCTGCAGGATCAGCTGGTAACTCTAGAAGTTCAACACAGATGAATTCATATTCTGATAGTGGGTACCAGGAAGTAGGCAGTTTCCATAACAGCCAGAACCCAGGAAAAGGAGAGAACAGACAGCAGCATCCCTTTGCAGGAGCAAATAACAACCATTTAGTGAGAAGTTCACGAGCTGAAGGACAAGCTTTGGTACAGGTACAGCTAAATTTCAGCACCTTTTTCATTCAATGTTCCATTTGCTGATCATTTACAGATAGTTCTGCTTTGTTGTCCTGTAAGCAGATATTTCTGTATTTTATAAGAAAAAAGCCCTAAGTCATGTAGTAGAGGTCTGCTATTTATTATATTGATTTCTTCCTGCCCACAGGGCACTCATTTCTAGTATAATAGGACTTTCTTTCTTCACAGCCTCAGCTTTTTTTGAACAGATATGGAGGATGGGCAGAGTGCAGGAAGAATATGTTCGGTCACTGGGTACTATTCTGCCATATAAGACGCCCGATATTTTTAGGATTACAACATTTACTCAATTTATTTTTAATTAAAAAGAAAAATATCTCAGCAATTGAAAAGGTGCACACAGTACTGAATTTTAAATTTTGAAAGTGTGTGTGTGTGCACATGCATTTAAGAAAAGCCCACAGATTTATAACTTAGTATACATATAGTGTAAATAAATATAATTTATCAAATATAATAGTATACTTGATTTAAGCCACAGTGGTCCATAGATTATAAACCAATCACATAACATTTATGCAAATAAAAAACAATGAAACAACACAAGAATATTTATCATAACTACCCCAAAAAATTAACAAAATAAACACAACAAAACCATTGTTTACTGTTAGTGTTGGATCAGGTTGTAATAACTATAGTTTGTATGAAACAGGTCAACTACATAAACCTGAGACTATATTTGTTATGAAAAGATAACAAAGTTAAACTAAAGTTACAGCTGTACAAAATTATAATTTTATAATTATATAATCATTTTACAGTGTTATTATCTTTATAGCCTCTCTCAAGGAAACCTGAAAAATACTGTTCTGTTTAATGAAGATCTCAAGTAGAGACTTTTCAGTGTTCTCCAAGAATGCATTCTTGATGTATGCTGTAACAAACTTGTTTAACAATATTTTAGACACAATGCAACAAAAGTAAAGTATTTTTACTTTTCATTGGGAGAAACTGAGAGTTCAGTCCTGTTAAGAGGTACTTCCCACTGCATCCAATAGGACCTAATCCCAAGTGTGTATATGAGGTTTTCACTTAATCTTTACACTTAAATTTATTTTGTTGATATTACTATTTTTCTCCTTTTTAATAGACAGCACCAAACATAGCTTCCAACAGAGCCATGAGACGTGTAAGTTCTGTTCCATCAAGGGCCCAATCTCCCTCATATGTAACCACTACAGGAGTTTCCCCTTCAAGGGGATCACTCAGAACTTCTTTAGGAAGTGGCTATGGTTCGCCATCTATTACTGAATCACGATCTGTCAGCTCTAATGTTTTCTCAACATTACCTGTTCAAAGAGCAGCATCTCCATTTACTACACAGAGGCCTGCCTCACCAGTAGCAGTGCGCCGAATTGGTTCAATAACATCTAGGCAATCAACCAACCCCAATGGAGGAACTCCCCAATACCAGCCTTCAGTCAGAGTTGGTTCACCTCTCACAATAAATGACACGCAGACAAGAGTAGCCTCTCCACCCTTAACCCAAGTTGGATCTTCATCACCAAAGCGTTCTGGGATGACTGCTGTTCCACAACATTTGGGAACATCTTTACAACGGACACTTCATGACATTGAGCAATATGCACAACAGTATGATATCTATGAAAGAATGGTCCCACCTCGTCCAGACAGCCTTACAGGTTAGTAAAAAGGTAAAGACACAACTTAAAATTTTGTGCAATTATATGTTACATTAATGACAAATGGGATCATCAGAAACATTTATTGCAATTCTTTTTCTGAAACTGAGTTTGTTTTTTTTTAAGAAAGGAAATGTTTTACTTAAAAATAATAACAATTGGCTACTGTGGTTGCATACTTTCAGTTCTTTTTCTCTTCTAAGTAAGAATGGAATTTCAAGCTGGGGAAGAAAGAATAACCAAATCTGAAATAATATAAAAGTGCTAATATGTCTGTGCTGTAAATATATGTCAGATCTTACAAATATGCATTTAATTGCATATGAGGTTATACTCTAATTAAATAACTCATGGTAAAAATAAAACCTACTGTTTCAATTGGCCTAAAAGGTGACAATCACATTGTAGAGGGCCTTTTTTTAATGAGGAATCTCTTAATCTCACAGAGCATTTTTTAGGAATCAGAGGAAAAGAAGTACAGTATAATATTTCTTTATAGTTTGTATTTATCCTGGCTAGTATTAATTAGTAATACTATGCTTAAAAAACTTTTCTGTTATATTTTCAAGTCTCAGTCAGTTTGATGGGGAAAAATGTTTTTCACATTTTCTTTTTCCAAAGAAGAACATTTTGATGGAATTCTCATTGGTTGGCCATAGGGTTCATACATTTAATACTTACACATACACACACACACAATAATAACAATAAAGCTTCCCTGGCTTTCTAATCTTCAATTAAATCTCAAATATATCACAAGTGATCCTCCCATGGGACTTTTTCAGATCAGGAAGTACTGAAGGCCGGGGAGGCTGCAGAATGATGGAGAAATATGAAACTTGGGAGAAAAAAACATGAGCACCACTTCTGCTCTGCAGTGATGAAAATGCCACTATTTTTTGTTCTAAAGAAATTCTAAAGTATTTTGAGAATTAGGCAGAAAAAATAGAAGCTGCTTTTTCAGGAAAAAAATTTGGGCAAATCAGGTGGTTTTGATACGTTACTTTAGCAGTTGATGATTTTATCTTTAGTAGCAAACTGAATATTTATTTGTTGGAATATTTGTAGCCCACCCATTATCTATTGGCTCACATGGCAAGTTACAATCCATTCAAAAAAAAAGTTAAAGGAATAGAACCAAGTAAAATCAATAATAAATTACTTAAAAATACAATATAAAACAATAATGAACTAGTAACAGGGAGGCATTTAAAGAACAAAGGCATGGTGAAACATAGACATGAATTGTCAAATCCATGAGTAAAAAAATCAGATCTTCATCTGGCATGAAAAGCCGATAACATTGGCACCACCATTACCTTCCAGGAAAATGTCTAGCTAGATCTTAAAACAGGGCATGCATTTCTATCCTTTTGCCCCAACACAATCATAACTCTAGTATAAATTCAGTATAAAATTATTTTCATGCTTCAATTTAAAATGCTTTCATAAGATTACTGTTATAACATTTAGAAGTGTTAAACATTAATTCATACAAAAATTCTGAAATTAACCCATTTTTATACAGTGGTATTTTTCAAAACAGATAAAACTGGCATGGATAAATTTACAGATTTTGCTAAGAAATACAATATGGCAGTTGAGCAGTTGAAAAGTTGTTTAAATTTATCTTATGTCAATAAGAAATACTGAAAAGTTGATATTTTGTGCTTGATTCAGCAAATTTCAATGGAAAATATGTATATGTGTTTAAGTACTTAATGTTAGCTGCATCATGCTCATTTTGTCCAAAAAAGAGAACTCTAAAAAAGGTAGTTTTTATGGAAAAATCTCTACTGGTTTTAATGAGTCTCTTTCAGGCATCTCTATATTAAAGTAAGATATCCAAAGAATTGTGAGTTGTTTATTCCTTGTTTAATTCTCCTGTATATTTTTATCTTTATTTTACAGAATCAGGTATGTAAGCTTCCCAGAGTCAGTTATAATTGGAGCAGCATATAAGTAAAACAATAATTGGAGCAGCACCAGTAAAACAAATAATAAATTAAAATAAATATCCATCTGCATAGATCTGTGTATAATTATTTCACGTATGACAGCTGAAATTGTGAAATACAGTTCCAATACAAATTAATGTCTCATAGAAACCATGATTTAACAGACTAGTTGTAGGGAGGTGGCATCTGTTACTCCCAAATGTCTGTCAAATCACAAATTATATAATTTACAGTAATTTATTCCATTTGCATAACAATGTCTTTAAATAAATGATGTAATTCACATCAATTCATGTCATTTACATAATGACATCATTACAGAAATGACGTAAATCTCAAATGAGATAAAATATCATAAAATTAACATACTTAATTGCCTCATCTGGACTACTTTGGGTGCGATGGGCTTGTCCATCATATTGGGGCGGGGGGATATTCAGACAGAAAATTTATCTGCTGCATCTGAAGACTGCTAAATAAGAATCTGTTAAATGGAGGTTTCTAAGATTTTTAAATCTTTATGTAGTTAATAATTAATTATTATATAGGCATGGCTTGCCCTCTTATCTGCTTGTATCTAATTACTTCAGATAGGCCATTTATATCATTATTCTATTCATGTGTTACCTTTGTACAGCTAGTGCTCAAGCTGGTCAATGGCAAAATCCAAATTTAATAATTGGTCCTCTTGCTTTTCTATATTAATCTGAAAGGGTATTAACAATAAAGCATTAGCTTTCATTTTTCAGAATGTATCTAAATATTCTTTCCCAATTTAATTATCATACTAAGAAATATCAAGAATCTTTCTGAATATTATTATGTTCAATAATAATTTGAGTATTTAACATTTTGCAGTGGATCTGAGGCCTTATTAAGGGCCCAGAACAGAATGTTCATTTAATTTTATACTTTTTTTCTATTGAGATCAGTGGTCCAGTACAGTGTTTCTTAAACTTTTTTCTCTCAGGACCCTTTTCCTCTTTTAAAATTATGTTTGTATGGGTTATATTTATTGATATTTACTGTACTAAAAATTAAAATTGACACATTCGCTGTCACTTCTGCTTCTCACAATTCTTTGATGGGATTTTAACATTGTATTATTTTTCAACATAGGCTGGCAAATAATTTTGATTTTGCAGACCCCTGAGAGGATTTCGGGGGACCCCCAGGAGTCCCAGGACCACACTTTAAGAAACACTGGTCTAGTAAATGGAAGTGTGTGGGATTTTTTTATCCCAAAATAATTGAAATAATTATTGGGATTATATTTATTGTTTAATTTATTAATTTCCCTGCCTCGATCGAAAACTATATCTGATCATTTGAACTACTTCACCAAATTTGGATAAGACCACTTCCATGTATGGGGCTCATAGAAATTAATTTCCACAAAGGTCCTGAAGAAATCTTCTGCAGTTAATCACATTTTCATATCATCTTGCAGAGAGGCAAGGAAGTAATTTTAAATTTAGGAAAGCTTATTTTCTGCATTAAAAATTAAAATATAGTTCACTGTAGTCAGATTAGGAAAATGTGTTCTATGTACAATACAATATCTCTTACTACTACCAATTTTAATTGTTCCAAACATTGCAGATTTTTTGTGATTTAAGTTGAAACAGGCATTTTTCATAGGAGGGAGAATCTTAGAATAACACTGAAAATTTGGCACAAATTGAGTAGACATGTTAGGGATTGAAGGAATGGAATGCTACAATATTAAACAGTATCAATCTGTCGCAGAAGGCATTCATCAAATGTAAATAATGAGCATCAGTTCATATTTCCTGCACATGGTTTCTGATCTTTACAGAAGAAAAATTTAATGCCCTACCATAGCAGTTGTTTGTGGACAAAGTTTTGCATACCTGAAGTTCCCCTGCCTGCAAAATCCTTATTCATTCATTGATTCATTACAGTGAAGGGATCAGTTTTATTACAATAATATATAAAAATAAGTACTAAAGAAGGATACGCATCCATAATTCTTCATTTTAAAGTGATTCTCAAGAGAAATATGAGCAAACTAAGGTACAAAGCCCAAGAAGAACCATAAATATTTCTGTCAGAATTATTTTTGTGTATATTTTTTATTAGATAAGTCATTGTGTTATTACTATAATATGCATTTTCGGATTCCCTGTGTGTAATACTTGAACCATTCTTATTTTATTAAATTTGGAACACAAAGTATGAATCTTCAAATGATTAAGAGGAAGACTTTATATAGCTATCCATTTTCAGACTCTAGCAGACTATAACCAAACAGAAGAAGTGAGAAGGAAGCAAGAGGGAAAAAAGAGTTCATTTGTTGTTAAATATAGCCAGCAAGTATATATTTCAAAATAAAAAAAATGCTTGCATTATAATAGGATTTCTTTTTTTGTAGAATTAACACTGTGGTTTATATTGATCAAGGATTTGTTTGTTTGTTTATTCGATTTCTATGGCCACCCATCTCAGACAAGTGGGCAGCTGAGTAGTTAACAGTACAGTAGTTAAATTTGGTTTAACAGTAGTTAAAACCAAATACAAGCAACATACAAAATATATATATACGTAGCAGCCAAGAAAAATTATAACCTTTGATATCAATATAACCAGGAAATGGGGCCTTTAACACACTCGGGGCCCCAGGCCTGGGCACATAGCCAGGTCTTCAAGGCCGTACAAAAGGCAAAGAGAGTTGGGGACATCCTAGTCGAAGGGGCTATGGCAGAGAAAGTACCCCTCCTAGTCCCCGCCAGCCGACATTCCTTGGCTGATGGGACCTGTAGCGTGCCCAACCTGCCGGACCGAATTGGATGGGTAGAAACAACTGGGAGAAGACGGTCCCTCTGGTAACCTGGTCCCAAGCCATGAAGGGCTTTAAAGGTGACAACCAGCACCTCGAATTGCATCAGGAAACACAATGGCAACCAATGCAGCTCACACAGTAGTGGTGTTACATGTGTTGAATATCCAACACCATTTACTACCTTTGCAGGTGCATTCTGTACCAGTTGAAGCTTCCAAATAGTCTTCAAGGGCAGCCCCATATAGAGCACGTTGCAGTAATCCAGACCAGAGGTCACGAGGGCATGAGTGCCCTCTCTGGAAGTGTCAGTTGATATTTAGATGCTAATTTAATTGAAAAGATCCTGAAAGAGTGGTATATAATAATTCTTCGTGTTTCACAAACAAATATGGTGGTATCCTAATCAATTATGTTTTCTAATATAGCAATCTCACAATAGCCTAATTGTACAAGTCTGTTATAAGAATATAAGAATAACCTTGCTAGATCAGACCAAAGCCCATCTTAGTCCAGCATTTTGTTTCTCGCAGTCATCAACCAGATACTTCTGGTATGCTTACAAGCAGGAGATGGAGCCATGATGCTCTCTTCCTGATATTCTCTTGCAGCTAATACTTGGAGACATGTTGTCCCAGTATAAAAGTTATATTAAGTCTTCAAGCTGATAAGCCTCAAAGGGCCTGCCTTCCATGAATTTATCCTTTGGAAGTTTTCCAAGTTAGTAGCCATCAACCCTGATTATCAGAATAGAAATGATTTAAAATATTTCTACAGAGCAAAGTTAGTCCAGTTAATGACTGCAATGTATAGTAACCTCTCTAATAGGAAACACTAACTGAAGTTGGAAAATCTGTGTCTCAGTCACAGAAAGTCACAGAAGCTACTCAACATCCAGGAGACAATGCTAGGTAGTTGTTGCACCCAAGTAACTAACCTGATTTTTAAGAGTAAGCACAATAACCTCCATGTTCATTCTGCCTGTTCAGTATCTCTGCTTCAGTATCTATTTCATTTTAAATTTGTTAGTCTCATTTAGACTTCCAAGAACCTCTTCAGGGCATTTGCTATTTCATTTAGATTACAGGAAAAAAGTTACCTGTCTTAATATTGATGACATTTTATTTCAGAACTCTTTAATAACCTCACAGAATGGCTTTAGTGAGATAAATTATCTTCAGACATCTTCTGAACCACCTAAGAAGTGCATGTTCTTGAAGCTAAATAACATATTCAGTTGCAAGGCTGCTTTTTCACCTGCTTGAAGAATGAAATTGTGCTGTGAGATGTAAAGTAAGCATAGCCTCTCATATGCACTTTAAAGTTTAAATGTTTAACAGTCTCACATCTTACCCTCCTGCCAGGCAATTCCATATGGATCTATGAAAAAAAATAACAGAAAATTGACCATTTAACTTACACTTTTTGGGAAATGGTTCATTATGTGGCAAGTGTACAGCTATTATATATTTCCAAATTCTCACTGTCTTTATACCACTGTTTATTTCACTCAATCTATTGAAACAGTACATCAGTATTGTATGTTGACAATCTGGCCAGGCAACCCCACCAAAAAAAGGGGGAGAAAGGCCAGAAGAGGTTTTCTTGCAAATCCAGGAGACTTCTGAGGTATACAAGAAAGTCCTGTTTTTAAATAATAGCAGCACCTACCATGCCATCCAAAAACCAAGAAGTTCTGGCACTTATACTGCCTAAATGCTAAATACTGCCAGTAAACATTTCAGAAAAAAGGATGCAGGTGTGAGTATGAAAGGTTTTTCATGGAACCTTCTGACACAGTGAAGCTCTGTCGGACTGTGAAGAAAGCTTCTTATAGCTTAAAGGATCAGCAAGCATATGCCTTAAAATCAGAGAATTGGAAATGAAGTAAATGTGATGCACTTCCCAGTGTGGGCAGTTTATTTGTACTGCATTGTATATGGCTAAGGGACAACTTTTGATTTATGTTTGAATGATCACTTTAAGGAAGGGATCACTTTCCAAATCTCAGGCAGTGCTCCACATAGTAAACAGAATATTATAATATCTCTAGAGTACATACATTTTCAGATACTTTATTTCTCTGTCACCTTGAACAAGGAACAAAGATCTGGATAACAATGAAATTGAGGAATGGATGAAAGATTAAACAAGCACAAAAATCATAAGGGTTATAGATAAAGAGAAATTGCCAGGAGAGGATCTGAATTTTCACTTTAGATACAAATAAAAACAAGAAGATCAAAAGAGAAAAATAAAATCCTAAATCATGTGGAAAAATTGATTAAGAAACTTGGGTAGTCCATTCAAAATCAAGTGAATTAGTAGGTATCTAGTGAAATTTTTAGAAGCAACACAGGGCAATAAATAACAGGATGCCACCATTCAAAAAGTCTTTAAGTCAGGATATGAATTTAGTTACCTTAAAGTAGTTACTGCTTGCTTCAGTATTCCCTTTTTTTGAGCAGTGAATTTTTCCTGTGATTTTTTTTCCAGCACTCATAAAAACCTGGAGGGAGAAAAATAGATTACTCATGGTAATTATTGTACCCTGATCATTGCCTTTTTTTTTTTTTCCTAGGCTTAAGGAGTTCATATGCTAGTCAACATAGTCAGCTTGGCCAGGAGCTACGTTCTAATGTATCTCCTGATTTACACATCACCCCCATTTATGAAGGTAGACCCTATTATAGTCCAGTGTACCACAGTCCAAGCCATGGAACAGGTGATATACACCAAGGATCCCAAACTGCATTATATCGAACTGGCTCAGGTAAATTTGAAATGGTTATACCTCTGTTGTCCTAGAGCATATGTAGCAGCATTATATTCTTATTGTTGTGGTTAGATTTATAGTCTACCTTTCCTCCAGAAGCTTAATATGGGACATATAGCACTTTGTCCTTTAATTTTATCCCCTCCACAGAAACACAGTAAGGTAGGTTGGTTTAGAGATAATTTGACTCAAAGTCAACCAGTGAGCTTCAAACCACGGAGTTGAAACTATCGCCTGGTTCTAGTTCAACATCCTACTCATTTCACAGTATTGACTGTGCAACTAGTATGTATAACTGCAGCAACAGTGGTACAGCTGCTAACTTTTTTTTTTTAATATAAAGATGGGAGAGCCCATGTGCCCCACACAGCCACCAGCACCCTTGGGTTCTTTGGCACTCTTTGATCACATTGCTGGAATTGACAGCAAAATGGCTCAATTTCAGCCTGTTTTTCAGGGGGTTGGACCTCCTAGTCTCCCAAAAGGGCAAAAAAACCAGACAAAAGGTTTTGATCATGCCTTTTCCAGTTACATCATGCTATCAGAAGATTGCCTTCTGCAGCCTTTCAAAAAATCAGGAAACAAAATTGTCACATTCTGAAAATTACTTATAGTACTATACTGTATATTTATTAAGGCACATCTAGTTTATATTTGATACTTTGTTTTTTTGTTTTATAGTTTCTTTATTTTACTCTCATTTAATATAGAATTTCAAAAATGTTCGTACATTTTGTTAAGTATAAAACAAGGTAAACATTAAGCAATACTGTGAATGGTTAGTGAAAAAAATAGTGTAGTGCTTTAAAAAAATCCAAAGCAAATTTGGAGCAGTTGTAGAGATTTGCAGGGAGGAAAATGTAGGAAGGTATTGTAGGCCAAGTGTATTTTAGTTCTAAACAAGTCATTAACCAAATGCATTATTTATTACAGGACAAATCCAGATTTTGTCATGGTTAATTTATATTCCATTAATTTCAGTTGATTAATTTCAAAGTAGGACTAAATTTGGATCCAGCTCTCTGTATTTATCACGTTTATGACTAACCCATCTTGAAGATACAGAGTAAGAGATTAAAAAGTCTATCGGTACTGAAATTAAACTTCAAAATATTTCTTTTAAATAACAATGTACCTTGCATCCTAAAATAAGTTACCTTAAGGAAGTTCACAGAAGGAAGTATCTGATCTACTCTTCTCCTTTAAATCCCATAAAAACCCTCTGGAGGATTGTAGATCTATGACAAGCAATATAAGAAGTGCCATGGTGGCATTTGTCTCTCCCAGAAATCTTCCTCCACTCTGTGAACAATACTGTGCATATTTATTTAGCAGTAAGCCTTAGAGAATTGAATAATGCTTATTTCCTAATATATTTATATGAGAGCAGTAGTAGGATAAGTTTATTACCCTTAATATCTTACTTCTGGACTACCCATAAGCATGTGATTGGCTCAGCAGGGAAAATAATGATGAATTTAGGAGCCATTCATCTGATGCAGCATGGCTTTGCTTATAGAGCTATATTCTTCTTTAAGTCATTTTTTTTTTAGGATCTGAACCACCCTCTGTTTAACTACATTCTTCACAAACCAATCTAGAGAGAAGTATTCAAGATATTTTTTAACATTCTTGAAAGGGAATTAAGAGAAAAAGAATGTATGCCTGTATCTATGTATATGTTTGGTAACCATAAGGGGAGTATTTTCATAATATTGATTTGGTATACTAGGTGTTGGAAATCTGCAAAGATCATGTAGTCAGCGTAGCACTCTTACATACCAAAGAAATAATTATGCGCTGAACACAACCGTTACCTACGCAGAACCCTACAGGTCACTTCATTATCGGATGTCTGAATCAAATTACAACAGGATGCAACATGCAGTCCCTGCTGATGATGGAACAACAAGATCTCCATCTATAGACAGCATCCAGAAAGATCCCAGGCAAGTATAAATGATACTTTAATCAGTCACGCACAGTTAGCACCATAATAATAAAAATCCTTAAGTGATCCCTTGTATTTTCATTTTTAATTCTTCACCTCTGTGATAGCATTTAATTTAGTTAATTTAAGTTTAGTTACTGATAGATCTATTGTTGGATGCAAGTGTTACATGACACACATCCCCAAACCCACCTTGCTTAGGGTTGACTAATAAATGTCATAAAATAATAATAAATTCACACTTTTCTTTGAATTCTTATCTATTGAAGAGAATTTGCATGGCGGGATCCAGAGTTGCCAGAGGTCATTCACATGCTTCAGCACCAGTTCCCATCAGTTCAGGCTAATGCTGCAGCCTACCTACAGCATCTGTGCTTTGGAGATAATAAAGTAAAAACTGAGGTATGCAACAGAGGAGGTCTTACTGATCAACTGTCAATGAAGAATATTTCAGAACTGTTAGAACATATGGCTTAATGTTGAAATATTCATCAGGTTAGACACTGTAAACTCTTATGAACTGAAAAACCCTGCAATGGAAATATAGTTATGCTTTTAAGCTTTATTATGGTCCCAAGCAAACCATTGTGCAATTAGCCTTTTTACCCATTAACATTATAATATTTTGCCCATGTACTTAGAAGCAAACCCTGGTGACTTTAGTGGAACATTTTCTAAATAAATATTTGCATATAAGGCTAATGAGAGGGGGTTTTTTAATCACAATTTTCTCTCGCTGTAGCTCTTTAAAACGAGTGTATAAATATTTATGAAGTTTTTAGTGAAATGTATGCATGTATGAAATGGAAGAGAAAATAATAGTACAAAGAATAGTGCTTAACAGCGAATTCCTGAAAATATGCTTTCAAGTATTATTTGCCACCTCTTAAACGCTGAAGAAATCCATCTCTTCAAACATTTTTCCTACTGTGTTCACAATACAGTATTTATATAAAAAAATATATATATAGATGTTATGAAGCCAATTTCACGATAAATAAATTGAAAGGTATCAGTAGTTTTGCTTTTCATGCTTTCTCTACTTACAAGTGCATTTAAAAAGCCCCAGCGCAGACTGATTTTTGCAGATTTTCAGATTCTAAGGGAAAAAAATAAAACATTTTCTTAGATTTTATCCTCAGTGATTCAGATAGTAAGTATATTTATACAGAGGTGGGATTCACTGACTAATCTTTAGCTCACCTGAGATTGAAGCAACAGTCTATGAACAAGTTACAGAGCTGATCTGAAATTCATTATTTTCAGTGTATGCTTTCCAGTAGGAGATAAACAAGCTGTCTAGGCAAGCACAAAATACACTGTATTATTTTCATTCCTATGCTGTTTTCTTTCTTCTTTTTAATTAAAAATCCCCTTGGCCAATTTCTCTGTAGATCAGTAGTAGATAATTAGCACAGATTACCTTGTCTACTCATAACATTTAGATCAAAGTTTCTTCAAGTTAATTACATCTGCATCATTGACAAAATGAGAGGTACCTTTAGGTTTTGATAATAATTAATATATTAATAATAATAACAACAACAGAAGCAGCAGCAGCAGCCCATTGTTAATTATGAATAATTATTACATAAATTGTTTCAGTAAAGACCTTTTTCAATGCCATGCAGGGTTCAGAGGCTACAAGGGCAAGAGGGCCAAACCATGTACATAACAAGTGTTTTAACTCTAACTTGCCCATAGCAACATTAAAAAAAAAAAAAAACAGTAACCAAAAAGGCTGGCAGAAATGTAGCTGCAAGCAATCTTTTCTCTACCTACATCCTTATTTGCTGCTTTCTTTTCAGCACCCTATTCTTACATCACTCCATTAACTCTTAACCAATAGCACTAAGGACATGTCTGGTTTCTGCTGCTCTACTGACTAGGCTAGAAAAACTTGGGGGGAGGGGGAAGAAACCTAACCACAAAGCTCAGAACAGTAGACAGCACTTGGAACACCTGGAATGAAAACGTTTGAAACAGCTAAGTTTTGGAATTAAACTGTATGTATGATTCCAGCCTTAAAACAAAACTCCTGCAAGACACGTCCTTTGCTTTGGGCTTGGAGCATTTGAAAAGGCCACATTTATTATCATATAAACCACTAGCAGGTGATATTTCATATAAAAATGATACACTTAGTAAAATATAGAGATTAAAATTCAGACTAAGGCCTATTTTATGATTATTTCCAACAACAAACTTAATAAGCAGGTGTACATTATACTCACCTTAACTAATATAAAGGTGCAAGAAAAATAATTTTCTCTAAAAGCTTTCCTTAACCTGCTGTCTTTCAGAGGTGTTACACCAGAACTCCCATCATCTGCAGTCAGAACAGCCAAAAGTTTGTGCGGCCAGACATTGTGAATATTATTTTCATAAGCGCATGAAGGATCTTAAGATTGAGGAGAATGTATCTCTAAACTTTTGAGATACAGCCAAGCGTGTTTATAAAAATTACTGATAATGGATTTTTATTAAAATATGTGTAATTTGAATTCAAATTTATTGAATCTTAAAGCATTCATTTTAACTGAAAATGGAGGGAATATATATACACACACCATACACAGCGCTGTATTTTCAACAAATTAGAGATACGTCCTCTAGAAATGCCAAATACTAAATAGGCGGACAGTGTGTGGTATATGCAACCTGTGTGAGAAAACAGCAATTTTCTGGAATTTCACTTCATATATTCACCAGTTCCTCTATTCAATATATTTTTATAGGTATGCAGGTTAGGAGGAATCAAACATTTGGTTGACTTGTTAGACCACAGAGTTCTTGAAGTTCAGAAGAATGCTTGTGGTGCGCTGCGGAACCTGGTGTATGGGAAATCTACAGATGAAAATAAAATAGCAATGAAAAATGTTGGTGGAATACCTGCACTTTTACGGTTGCTAAGAAAATCAATTGATGCAGAAGTAAGAGAACTTGTCACAGGTAATTTTTAATAGGTAGGAAATAAATGGTGTATAGTCAGATCCAGTGAGTTTATGTGCAAGAAAAAAGCTTTGAAATAGTTATTTGAAAAGATACTTAACACAGTTCAAAACAGTTTCTGTTCAGTTCACTGAGACTTAGACCAGAGTTAGACAACCTGGTCCCCTCCAAATGCTTTGCATATCAACTCCTATCAGTTCCAGTTAGCATGTCCTTTTGCAAGGGACTGAGTATAAGTGCCATCCAAAACATTTTATGATATCTTAAGTGAGTAAGTCTTACCTCTGGGTAGACATACATACATTTGTATTGAGAACTCAGGTAAGTGTTTGAAATATTGCAGTCTAAAAGCATACATTCTATCTAGAAGTTATTTAAGTCATGTAAATTCTTTAGTATATCTACATGATTTTACTGAGAAATGTACAGTGTATTTTCTGCATGACAAAAATTGTACTCCCCTATACTTCTAACCCAAGCTTGCTTAAAAAATATATACGAACATGAATAATATTTGCTTTTGATAAGTATATATAGAATTGTAACTGTTTACTGTTAATAATGACATATACTTTTTTTATCATACTTCTTTCATTTTTTTGTAAAGTACTTTTTTTTTCTCTTTGACAATGTATGTATCTCCATCATTATTATTGTGTTTTGTTCTTTTCCTTTTTTCTTTTGTTATTAATTAAAAAACAATTAAATATAGATTTTTTAAAAAAAGATTATTTTATCCCTTACCTGGAATTGATTCCAGTGATATCTGTAAATGCCAAATAAGGAAAGACTGATTCCCTAATTTGGGAATGCATTCTGCTAGAACACAATGTTGTGACGGTTATTGATATCAGCTGAATCTAAAATCTGTGTGTTAGTTCACTTCCTTGCTATCTTATTTTAAATGCAAGTGTTAGGCAAGGCTAAAGAGTTTGTTTGTTTGTTTGTTTGTTTGTTTATTTCCCAAATTTAGATACTGCCCATCTCAGGAAAAAGTGACTCTGGGTGGTTCACAATAAAACAACAATATTAATTAAATACAATAAAAACAATGTAAAATACAGTAAAAATAGAATAAAACCAGACACATACGCAAATAATAATTTCTTCCAAGATGTTGATGATCAGTAAGATGTTAACA